CCCGCCGCCCACGGCAGCAGGGTAGATACGGCTCCCAGCCGCCGGCGTGCGTGGCCTGTCCGGCTGGGGTAGCCCGAGGACGGGCCCTCAGTAGTGTGTGTTCACCGTACAGCCTGACCACCGCTGGTCCCGCTCACTCTGCTGCAGAGGGACAGAGGGACAGTAGCTCAGGGCCATCCTGGGCACAGTCAGGGCTCAGACCTGCTCCCTCCCCTCCCATGGCAGTGCCCAGCGCCCTACCTCCCCCATTGCTGAGACTGTACCCCACGGCCACTCCACGAGAACGCCAGCTGCAGTGGCTCCTACATCGGCAAAGACAGGAGGCTGCCGTCCAGGGGGACGCTCTCCCGGGGCCCGATGTCCGCCCTCAGGTCTGGGCAGGGACTTACCCATGGTTCCCCTCCAGCGTGTTCTGGACTTCCTTGAGCACTCCTGCAGGCAGGGATGGGGCAGAGGCCAGTGAGGCCAGTAGGCACCAGGCCACACTCAAACCCTTCTCCCCTTTTACCGACGGGGCTGAGCGGGACCGCCTCCCTTCTCGGGGACGTCCCCGACCCTGTGGAACATCCTTCTCTCCCGTGCCCCGTGTCACCTCCCGCCCTCACTCACTCTCGTCGTTGAGCAGAGCGTGCTCCATCACCGGCCCTGGCTTCCTCCCTGGAAAGCAGAGGCGCGGTCAGGTGGGCCCGCCCTGGCCCTCTCCTCTGCTCCGAGGTGGGGGCGGGAGCCCAAGGCTGGAAGGGCAGTTTCCGTTCCCAGTCCGAACACCCCCAGGGCCGCCCCAGAGAGGACGGTCTTACCCTCTCCATCACTCTGGCTCCCTGAGTTCCTGTGGGGAGAGAGACAGTGAAAATTGGGGTCCATTAGAGTTCCGTGAGAATGAGTCTGGCCTGCTCTGAGCTGGAGGAGCCTAGGAAATCGGCTGGCAGCTGGCGTGGGAGGGAGGGGACGGCCTCTGGCCAGTCAGCAGTGGGCCTGCTCGTGGGTCAGATGGAGCAGGGGAGGGAGCGGGATGGGGAGAGGCCTCCTGCCCTGACACCCACCTGGCTCGGCCTGAAGCCTTCTCAGGGCCCGCCCCATTGCCAGGGCGGCTGTGGGTCTTGGCTTCCGCTGAATCCACCACACACCGGGGCTCAACCAGCCACTTGGTGGAGAGAGAGAAGCGCTCGAACTCGGAGGGTGAGATCAGGTAGAACCCTGGAGAGTGGAGGACAGGCCTGGCAGGTGAGGCCGAGGGGGCTTCTCCAAAGGGGCTGGAGCCTCCCTGGAAGTTCGCCCAAGGCTGCTCGGCCTGGCCGTGACAGCGCCGGGAGCCCCGCCCAGACCGCCCGCACCTTGGCCGTATTTGGTGAAGACACAGGAGGCGATGCCGCTCACATCCTCCCGGCGGATGCAGCTGTACCGCACCTGCGGCTTGAGCAGGGGCAGCGAGACCACCTGGATGTCGCCCAGGTTGGTGAGGACCGCCAGGTGGTGCTCCCCGTAGTCCTCAGCTCGGCAGCTGCCGAAGTGGGGCACGCCGACACGCCGCACGCGCGAGCCCTCCAGGGCCGTCAGCTTCAGCTTCAGCTTGGCACTCACCTTGGGCAGCGTGAACACCTGGGCACAGGGCAGCCGGTCCTGCCCACGGCCAGAATGCAGTTCTCCTGCCGACAGGCCCTGTTCCCCTCCGCGTGCCCCCCCAGGTAAACCGCTGGGTGCGAGCTCTCCCGCAGCTCTCAGGCGTGCAGGCACCATGCCTGGGTGGGGGTGGGGGTGGGGGTGGGGGCGCTGCCGCTGCCTTCCACGTCTTGGTGTTCTGTCCTTTCATGTCCCCACCTCTGACCCTGGGACCAAGACCTTCCCCTTCCTGTGCCTCTGTAGCCCCTCGGACTCTAACTTCAATGGAGTCGGGGCCCCCTGGGTATCCCTGGGCCCCGCTGTCCCCCAGGCACCTTGAACTGCTCCTCTGACACAACGAGCAGCTGGTGGCTGCCCTGCATGTCCGGGCTCTTCGACAGGTCGTGGGCCACTTCCAGGGGCTCGGGAAGGGGGACGCTGTGCCCGTCCAGCACCAGGATGCCCACCACAGGTGCCCGGTGCATCAGCTGTATCTCCTTGGCTGCCGGGAGGAGGCAGGCCGTGGGTCACGGGTGGGCAGTGAGACTGGGGACACCACCTTCCCCTGCCCCGGGGGATCAGCACTCACCCTGCTCTGCGCGCACGAGTTCATCCATTCTCCGCTCGGCAGGGGGCACGCGCAGGGAGAAGGCATAGACCGTGCCCCCGTTGGTGCCAGCCCACAGCGACGGACAGTGGCGGGGGGCGGCCCCAAAGGCCACGGGG